AGGGAGGGAATAAATATTCTCCCTTCTTCATTCAGATAGTTCAGTTGATACAAGCAAAACCAAATTCACCATGTTAGCCATATAAATGAACATAAGTATTGCAAAAAATACATTTGTAGTATTGTGCAGAATGAATAATTTATAAAGTCCAACCAATAGCAAGTAGTCAAACTTTAGGTACTTGACAGGAAGTTATACTTGCCATTTCTCTGGGGTTAGTCTGTCTTGTCTCCTCTGTCTCTTCACATTATCCTGGATGGACTCCATCCTGCAGACATGATCTCTGTGGCTGTGTCAGACTGTATGAACCAGTCCTGTTTTGCTCGATACTGTAAACAGTTCTTTCTGACTCCGGTTGCATTTTTCATTTGTTGTCATGTTGCAGAATGAATTTGGGGTTGATGGCACACCTCTCCGAGAACTGCAAGACCAATATGAACTTGAAAACTTAAGACTGTAATGTAGTTGGCTCATTCCATGTTGGTTTTGTCATGTCATCTCCAGACTTGGAGGCCCATAGAAAGCACAGTTTTGCAGGTAGTGAGCTGGAATGAGCAGCAATTCAATGCTGCAGGTGGTCAACTATTTTAAAAAGGTTAAATAATTTAATCCATAGTATAATCAGTAATAAACATACTGGTTCTTTCTTTCTTTATATATGCACATCTTTGCTTACACTGCCTCCTTCAGGACAAAGTGGGACAGAACAACTTCTCCATCTGTACGAGTGGGTATTACCATTATGTTAAGTCTTGGGACATTAAATTTATTTAGCTTATGTCATTTCCACCAAAGCTCCGCCCAACTAAATATAGAGGTCTAATCAACCAGTGATAACAACATCTTATATATGCAAAGCTACTGGTAACTGTAGCTGATAAATACAAGTCATAAAGTGAGGCAAACCGGGGACAAGTGCAATATTTTCCTCTGAATAATATTCTTCCATCCAGTATTTTACAATGTGACATTATAACTTGCTATCACTGTGTATGTATAGCCTAATAATAGCCCTGGGAATGTTACAGTAGATATGTTTAACAGCATTTTTAGAATATATAAATGAAACAATTCTTTGCAAATAGTTAGGCTTAGTTTTTGCATCTATGTAAGTTTTGTTTAATTAAAATCGAACATTTCTGTCCACATATCTCTCGTAAATATATATAATAAATCCAGAGAAAGACTTCGAAGCAGATGAACCCGATGAAGAGACACAACTTTAGGATTTGACTGTGGTCATCAAAGAAAGTGAAAATAACAAAGACAAAAACCATTAATGTCACAAAACCCAGTTTGTATCAGTTATTTGTCATAAAAAGGCATCTAAGATGTAGTTTAGTTTCATTCATTTATAAGTAAATATGTTTAAATAAATTGTGCAATTTTACTTTCCCTTTAAAAAAAAAACTTCATTCATTTTAGTTTCTTTTATTTTTTTTCCTCTACTTGTCTGCGCCTCACAGATTGAGAACCATCTATCCATTTCCTCCCAGTTATCCAAATAGGAGTCACAGAGAGGGCTGGAGCCTACTCCAGCTGTCACGGGACGAGAGGCGAGGTAGACC